TCATGCCCCAGTGTGGACGTGTGAGGTTGGAAAAAAAGTCGTGTGAGCAAGCGTCCTCATTCTGTATTTTCTGATGGAGGCTTGTGGTGATATACAGTAGAGATACGGCGTGAGACGGGTGTGCGAGAGAGGACTCGTGAGCTACTCTTTCCAGCAACCCCAGCACTTTCCAGCGGCACAACTCTCCCCCTCTTTTCACCTCTATCACACCATCTGCTTATTCTTTCATCTCTCGCTCCTCTCTGTTGCCTTCCCACTCTCAACCTCTTTCATCCTCTGTCTCTTTACCTGACCCCACTCTTCAGCCCACCGATCGACAGCGCTTCACTTCCTCCTCCGTACGCGCACCGTTCCTGCTCGTCTTCCTCAGCATTTCCTCCTTCAAACGCTCAATCAAACGACCTGTGACATACTTACGAGTGTAAAATGCAGTCAACGTTGCGTTCTTGTAAATGTGCCATGTCTGCCCCGACCCGCTCCTTTCTTGCTCTCTCGGGGTCAGGAAGTGGGCAAGAGGGGGTGGAGGTGTGGGTGAGTATAGCGTAGAGAGGAGGTGACGGAGGGAGGAGAGAAGTGGAGAGTTCTCCCCCCCACTTGTTATCAGTTTGTTCCTCCTTCTTGGCCACACACTGACAGAGTCAAAGAGACGCGGAGAGAGTGAGACAGAGAAAGAGTGTATTCATGTGTGTGAGAGGAAGAGGACCTCACTGAACGACTGTACACATATTCATCAACATGACAAAGACCGGTCCTTTTGCATCCATGGACTACTCCCATATGTGGCTGCCAGGTATGTGTCTGGAGCATCTGGGGTGGTTGCCAGGTTGGTTCTCTTTTTTGGAGTTTTATTGATGGATTCATTAGAAATGCAGGGATGTTTGAGGTCATTGGACCAAGAAGGTTAGTGTAGAGAAACTGAAAGAAAGAGCTATGCAAAGTTACAGAAAGGCTGAAATTCCAGAATATGCGTCATGAATTTCGGAGTGTCTATTTCTATAGAAATAGAGCGATTTGTTTTATGGTGCTTTGCAAGAGAATTCAGATTTCTGTGATTGTTTTTTTTTTTTTTCTTTTTTTTTTTTCCAAAGCACTGAAACTTAAAAAATATATATTTTGTGTAAATTATTTTAACATTTTTTTAATTTAATGAGAAAATTAAATTTATTTCATAAAAAAAACTGAAATATTAAACATGCCCAGATTCATGCTGTTCACGTAGTCAGGTGATGTTTGTATGTTGCAGTTTTCACATTTACATTTATTCAAGCATCTTACAAATGGAATATGACAAGCCATACATCTTATGATTCATCTTTTCAGATGCCACCGAATTTTTGGGTTGAAATCTGGGCCAATGTAGGACATGTTCTCAGAGTTTAAGATCATTGTCCTGCTGAAGTTCAGCTCAGCAGACAGAGAGATATTTTCTTGCAGTATTTCCTTGCGTTTTGCAGCATCTATTTTTCCTTGTACTTTGATAAGATGCCCAGTCTCTGCTGATGAAAAACAAATCCACAGCATGACGCTTCCAACACCTTCTTCATTATGAGGATGTTGGTTTTTGAAGTGTGGCCAGTATTAAATTAGCAAAACATATATAAATTTTCACAAGTTTTGGCCACAATTCTTTTTACACATCTTAGGAACATATTGCTTTTTTGGCAGACCAAGTTTATTATTATTATTATTCATGACTGTTTTGGAGTAGTGGCTTAAATCTTGCATTCTCAGCTACTGACCTCTGTGGCTTTTCTCACTAGACTCTTGCTGCCACAGTGAGGTCGTGAAGCTTAGGGGGCATTTTTTCTAGCCAATCTCATGTTCTCATTGTAGAATTTGTAATTTAGTAAAACGTGACAACTCGTCAATGATCTGCTTTTTTTTTAACTAAGCACTGTAAATGAACTGGTGGTTTGGTGATTTCTGTTGTGAAATCCTCAAAATAATTAACATGTCTCTGCATTAATTTCAAAGGCACAATCATTAATTACAGTATTTTAAAACTAGATGCCCAAAAGCTGTGTTTTTCTCTTCCTAAATTCAGAGAGCTCATCTAACTTTTAAGTGGTTAACAACAATGTCAATTTGTGGTATTATGTGCATAAAATCTTCAGGTTATTACACTAACATTACATTTATCTATGTTTTGCGGTTTCATCAGGCAAATAAGCAATTTTTAGTACTCAGGAGGTAATGAAATTATATTTATTGACTGGAAGTGTATAAGCGAACCTCTGGGAAACCCAGTGTGAAGTTCTTCATGGGGTTTCCCCCTTCCTCAGCTCCCAATTGCAACTTTGACCTACAGCGCAGCTGTCTGCAGCTCAACAGATGGAACACAGTACAGGAACTCTTGCCTTTAATAATGAAAATTAGTATATTGTGGAGTATAATGTTCTTTGTTAGTACAGTTTGTGTTTGCTATGAGAAGGAGTAAGAATGCTTCCTTGAGGAGTGTTTCCTTCACTTACTGTGAAGTTCCTAGCAGGTAGAAACCAGCAATAATATTCCTAAAGACAACTTGCATTATCATAACTGATTATCTGTCCTTTCAAACATTGTAAAAGGGGAGAGAGGTCAGTAATCGGCAGTCAGAAGAAGTAAGTCTACTGGAACCCAGACACCCTTAGATGATGAATATGTGTTTAAATACAAACCAACTGAGCTGAACAAATTGAGAAGTTAATTCATGCAGTGATGGATATGGTGATCTGAGATTGCCCTGATTATTGTTATACAAAAGCTCTTCATCTTTACATGTGACATCGTGACGTAAAAATAAGTGACTGGTGACTGAGAATGAGTCGCACATGCAGGGATCCTGTATAGCTCAATAAACACTCAATAGTAGTAGAATGTCCTAGAAAAATGTAGTAGTAGAAAAAACGTATTTGCTAAACGCAAGCCACGTTTAAAAGAGGTTACATGGAACTGTCAAATCGAAAATAAAGCAGAATTAGGGATTATGAGGTTAACAGAAATAAGAGAGGAAACAAATATTGCTGAAGGTGTGCAGGAAGTCTCTCTCCCTCAGAAATGTGGAGTAGTTTTTTTGTCAATTAATATTGCATTACAATAATTTAGCTTGGAAACCATTTCCAGTATGTGCAGGCGGTGTAAGCATATTTATTTCAGATTTAAAAAAAGAATGGAGATCTTTGTAATACAGAAGTTATGAAATGGAGAAGTTCGAAATATATAAGAAACAGAACTGTGCGTGTCAGCTACTGTATAAAGACTGTATATTATATAGCAGCACCTACATTTAAGCCTGCGCGTGTGTGTGTGTGTGCGTGTGTGTGTGAATGTGCGTATTAATAGCTGGCCCGACAGTAAGGGTTTGGTTTAACACATTGTGTTTGGCTCAGCCTGAGGGGAAACAGAGAGGGAAGTGAGACATTAACACCACAACCATCAGACACTTTTTCATTTTAACTTCATATGAATGATGAACTGCATATTCACTTCATATAAAACCTTATGTTCTAGATTCCATAATGCGAAACTGTGGTGGATGTATATCAAATGAGTTATCATAGACTGCAAGGTGTCATGATTAATCCATGATTAAAAACACTTCTTTGACATTTTTGCTTCAAATTAATGATGCCTCTCTGATAACCTCAAGTCAGCTTATTTTATTCAGATGAATTATGACACCATACTCAAAATAGTCAGAACTTGTGTGTGACACAATCTGAAAATATTCTCAAACTTTCAGCCTGAGCTATCATAGCACCATTTTACCAGCAGGCCATTCTGTGGAAACCCTTATAGATACGGCCCATTGGCTGACGGGCCTCGAGAGGGGCTTTCCTTCCCTTTTACTTCCTTTCACCAATCACTGTCGCTGGACCCTGGATTTGATCGTCTGAGGAAGTCGGCAATTCTTCAGCTTTTTGGTGGCTTTTTCACGAGTGACTCAATTTATATGAGTGAAGTTGGTTTCCTGTGTAACTTTCTCTGGGATTATTACAGTCACGTTTTTTTTAAAGTTGTACTGCCCCCTGGAGGAGTCAGATATTAATTATCAGTATCTGGTAAGGCTTCAATGTTTCATGTACTTGGCAAGAATTAAATACCGATGAAAATATTTGTGAAAGAGTGAGAAATGAAGGATGAGGCATGAGTGTTGAGGGGGAGATAGATAAAGAGGATCAGACGAGATAGTGGTATATGCAGGTGGGTCATATTATTAGTCAGTCGTTGGCTTTATTTGCATTTTTCACAAAAGGGAAGTGAGTGTGTTTCTCTGTGTGTGTGTGTTTATGAATGTCTGTTTGAGAGCTTTTTTGGCTACAGAATTTATAACGCTGATGCTGCTTATAACTCCTTTGTATTGTAAAAAGTGCCATACAGATAAACTGAACTGGCTTGAATTTGTCGGCAACATACACACATTCAGCTGTGTTCTGACTTTTATGTAAAAATATATCTATGATTTACAGAATTCAGTTTAGACCAGAACATTATAAATCTTATTTCTAAAAACAATGGTATTATGATTCTTTAAAGATATAAGATATTTCACACACACACATTTACTTTGCACGCTCTGTTTCTCACCGCTGAGGGACTGGGACAGTCCCATGGGCTCGGTTACAGTTAAATTTGAAGTGACACGTCTGTGGTGACGTAACCATTATTAGTTGTTTGTTGGATTGAGCACGTCTCCAGTTGTGTGAGAATGGAGGAATCTAGACCTCTATATTTTTAGAATCAAAATGTGTGCATTTGTGTCCTTTTGATTCAAAATATAACATATTTGTGTTTGTTACACTTCCATTCATCATCATCAAAACTATTTAATAATATATTTTAAAAAATAATAATATATCTTACTGTTCAACTGTGGTATAGGATTGAACTGTTAAATCAGGGTACAGGGCTGCTAACTGTATGCAAACAGTAATTAATTTGAACAAAATATGTTAACAGAAATGCATCATCGTGTAGCAAAAACTAATGACTGACCTCACATCCCTCTCTCTTTTTCACAGATATCAGAATGTCAAAGCCAATAGAGGTTGAGAATCCAGCGGCAGACTCTCCGATGGAGAGCACAGGTATAAAACTACATTATATTTTCATTTTTTTATAGGTCTGCAACAAGGATCAACAAAAAAGAATTTTCTGCTCAGATATTTACTTGACATAATAACATTTCCAGCCTATTTTTATGTGTTAACAACATTCTAAAATTATGAAAATAATAAATCAATAATAAACAATAAACAAAAGTAGTGCTGGGCAACGATTAAACACGATTAATCGCATCCAAAATAAAAGTTTTTGTGTACATAATATATGTTTGTGAACTGTGTATATTTATTATGTATATATAAAGACACACACATGCATGTATATATTTAAGAAAAATATGTTATGTTTGTATATTATATATATATTTATATATAATATAAATTATATGAATATAAATATATACATGTAAATATTTTCAAAAAATATGCTGTATGTGTGTCTTTATATATACATAATAAATATACACAGTACACACACATATATTATGTACACAAAAACTTTTATTTTGGATGCGATTAATCATTAAGTAAATTTTTCTATAAAAATTAATATAAATAAATTGCATGTCTTTTGCTATATTAAAGCTACTTTATATTTTTTACTAACTATCTTAACTAAAACCTAACTTAAATTTTCAAAATGAACAGAAATGTTGTTAATATCCTCTTAACTATACTAACTATCTTAACTAAAACCTAACTTAAATTTTCAAAATGAACAGAAATGTTGTTAATATCCTCTTAACTATACTAACTATCTTAACTAAAACCTAACTTAAATTTTCAAAATGAACAGAAATGTTGTTAATATCCTCTTAACTATACTAACTATCTTAACTAAAACCTAACTTAAATTTACAAAATTAACAGAAATGTTGTCTTCTCTCATTGTGTTTGTCAGCCTCCGAAAGAAATGGCTCAGATTCAAATAATCAGGTAAGTGACAGCCAGGTACCAGTGTTATATTTCATCTGAAAACAGCATGATCAAAAAAAAAAAATCATATTTTCAATGTGTTTCCCTCCAACAGCTTCAGCCAATGAAAATCAGCCCTTTCTCTCTTTCTCCCACACTGAGCAGCAGCACCAAGGTGAGTGAATGTGTGTAAATGCATGTGACAGTTTGTGTTCTTTACAGTGGTGGAAAGAGTACTGAAAAAATATACTCAAGTAAAAGTACCATTACCTTCCAAAAAATGTAGTGCGAGTAGAGTAAAAGTACTTGTCCAAAAAACTACTTGAGTAAGAGTAAAAGAGTAGCCTATTTAAAAGTACTGAGTATTGAGTAGTGAGTACTGAGCTGTGGATTCTACCCCCTCATAATAAACACTGTACACCGCAATTTATACATTTTAAAAACGTTGTACATTCTGTAATTCACATTATCTTATTTGTCATAAAGAATGAAGAGTATCTATCATCCAGCAGTTTTAATTTGGACTGCCAACTCTTTAAAATACATCAAAACAGCACGGAAACAGTATTCAGCTGAAGAAAAGATGAAAGTTATTCTCAGTACAATCATCCCCATTTAAATCATAAAGTTTGAAAAAATAGATTTAAAATCATGTGTAAGGCCACTGAGACAGCACGCTGCTGTTGCACATAAAATATTAATGTTTAGAACAGTGCAAATACAAACACCATTAGAAACTCATAGTTCAGCATCACACACCATGATATGGGTTAAAATGAGAGCCCATTTCTCTCCAAAACGGTGCCAGTTTTAGCGTTTTGCAATAAAGAAATAAGAATAACTAAACTTGATAATTTATGTTACAATTTTAACATAAATGCACATTGTTCTAGAAGGATGGCAAATTCATGCCATACCTTTTACACATTTACTCGAATTGTTATGCTGATAATACAATTTGTAAGGAAAAATGCATTAAATAGCGAAGTATTTCTGGGGAAACATTTTCA